AGTGGTCCTAGAATATTCACACGGTTTAATAATAGACGAACATTACATGAAATACAACTGTATACTGAAGTAGAAACTGCTCGCTCCTACGCAGGGAACTTGCGCATGCGTAGTCGGACGGTAAACAGCTTCTCAAACTAGTTCTTCACAATACGTTCTGTACAGACCCTCAGGGGGAACTCATAGAATCACAGGGGTATCACATAGACTTTATGAACGCAGCGTAGCTCGCGTAACATCCGTACCTTTTTCTTTTTTTAAAATTTTACGTAAAACAAACAGAGACACCTAGCGGTAAAATTTGGTACTAAAAACCAGTGTGCTATAGTAGTGCTTTAAATTCTCTGCCCCCTTCCCACTCTTATCTACAAATCATACGGCTTTCTATTTCATATAACATTATATATTGCTGCACTCTGCACTGCAGTGCACACACACCTAGGCCACTCAATTCTTCAATATTTAAAGCACTCAAAACATGCGTAAAAAGAGTGCAAATTTTACGCAATTTTAATGCTAACAAATTCTTTAAAATTCTTTTAAAACGTTTATTTTTTCAATTTATTTTGGAAAATGCAATATGTGCCATATCGAAAATTTTAAATATTTCACAAATAATTTATATTTAGAGTTTTAGGCAATTACGCAAATTGAGCGTATTTTTACGCAATTTGTATACCTGAAATAAAATGATACACATCTCCACAAATTCATGATATTTTTACTTAAAGCTGGGTTATAAAATATTTACTTTAGAAAAATTAGATATTTACACTACTTTGAAATCTAGACTTACGCAAATTTGCGTTTTAATTGCGTAATTGGAGCCAAAATATTATGTGTTTATGATGCTTACGCAATTTGGATAGCTGGGTGGCAAAGAGAATGGGACAGAAAGATGTTAATCCACTATTCAAACTCCCCCGACTACCAGCCGAAGCAGTAAAAGATTTAGCAGAGGAGCTGTCACAGTTTGAGCTTCCAGTAAGAACACTCGATGCTGAATTTATTGATGAATTTTATTCTCAGAATTCTGAAATTCATCACCAGGGGAGGGATCACCGCAGCAGCATCTCGTCAGAGCCTCCTGTAATTCCTCAAAACTTGTCAAGTTCGAACATTGCAGCAAGTTCAGAGAACAGTGAAAATGACCCTTTCCAGTCGTTTGTCCAATCACCTGGCTCAGCTCAGTCCCGTGGCAGCAGCCCTGAGGAATTATTCGATAATCACTTCCAAGTAGAAAACATAGAAGATGAGCTGCTCAATGAGACGCTACAAGACTCACCAACAGAAGATGACGTGGTTACGGGGTCGGCAGCCAACCCTATCCCGGAGCCAGAACCTGAAAAAACTCCAGAGCCAGAGGACGAACCAGAAGAAGCAGAGGGAGGGATTGATTATCAGGAAATAAGTACCCCTACCAGGAGACAAGAGATGCAAGAAACAGGAAGAGAGGGGGAGATGACAGAAAGAATAAATACCCCCCCCCATTGGAAGAAACTCAAGGAACTAGAAGAAGATTCAGCAAAGTATCAATTCCAACTGACAGATTCAAAATGCCTGATGCTCCCAGATCTAAGAGAGGAGCAAAGTCATCTATAGCACCATCCCTGAGGACACTGAAAGCGGTGCTCAAAGAGAGCTGGGCTCAGAGGCCAGAACCGACAGCACCCTTCAGGAGAAGGAGCAAGTACAAGATCTACAAAGACAAGGGCTGCATCCCTGGAAAGGTTGCTGACAGGGAGTATCAAAAGTAGTAGTAGTCTTAAAAGTAGCGTAAGGCCTAGATATAAAGTAGCAGATGGAATTAGTTACGTACAGGAAGCAGATAAAAGTAGTTGGAGCGATACAGAGGATGAAGCAGATAGGAGTAGTCAAAAAGATAAGGAAGGAATTAATTCAATTTCAGGTCAAAACTCAAAAACTGCAAAAGTGAAAAATTCAGTAACACTCCACCCCAGGCAAGGGGCATGGATATATTTAGTTGAAGAACCTTGGCAAGTTAGTGGGAATGATTTCATTTTTCCAATCCTGTTTAACACTATTGTTGAAAAGAATCTTTTTGCCTCAAAATTTTCTCCGAGGGCAGGAGTGTTACGTTCACCTGCAATTTACATGATTAACCATAATAATGATATCTTTGTTCAGATGAAGAGAGGGGAGAGTTTGGGGAAGCTGGTCAACCTGATGGTGAGGAACGAGAACGGGCGGATCAGTACCAGAGAAGGAGAAGCACGGGAGTAAGCCAGTTGCTCTTTGTGGGCATGCTGGCAGTCCTAGTAGGCAGGCCAGCACGGAGGACATCCTCCCAGAGCTAGCCCTAGACAGCACACAAGGCTCCAGTGAACAGAGGTTCACGGAGGAGGAGGCAGAGTGGAGTCTGCAGGGAGGCTATGGTTATTTCGTAACAAAAACTGTAGCTCCAACCTTGTATATCCTAAGCCTAGCTATGGTTGGGGCCGGAGCAGTTGCAGCTCTGACTTTCATCAGCTGGGTAGTTAAGACACTATTTTGACTCAGCAAGACTGGCTATAATAGCTCAGGAGTAGAGGACGGTTAGTTCTCTACTAAACTTTACACCATAAAAAAAGACGAATAAAAGACGCTTCAGGAGTGCAAATGTCTCATCTTATTGTGATCAAGGAGGGGATGTAATGATGTGGTGATTTTTGTTGATCTTTTACAATCAGCGGTTCAAGAGATCTTAAGATCATTGCGATCATAGTTATCTAGGGGTACTATAACCCTGCTGTATATGCATACAGAAATGACGGTTTATTATGTTGTTTGCTTGAAGCTAAGTTTAGATCAAGTCAAGCTGTTTCTATTTATAGACCAAGCGACGCTACTCCTTATCTCAGGGTAGCATAGTGCCAGGGGTATTGACCCGCCGAGTCAGGGTGCTAGGGATAGAACCCTGGCGGGGTAATGGCGGGTCTAACAAATGCTATCAGAGGCAGTTCGCTAGGAACCCTTTCGATGTGAGGTGGAGAAATAACCTGATCATTCTTCTACCAAATACTGCTACTTATTTTGCATATCGATTGTATAGTATTTTCTTTCATAATGTAAAAAAAGTAAAATGTAAAACCGTCTCTCGAAATATTCATTGTATGAGTGTTTGCATTGAATTTTTATCATATTTTAGACTACAACATTGGGTTACAAAGATATAAAAATTAGAAAATCCTTTATTATTTTACAATCCCAGTTGAATGTTGCAACTTTCTAAATTTGTATGGACGCTACGTTATTTAGCCTGAGTTGTTTTTAACAATTTTTTCCTTATAGTTATTTAAATTTTCTAGTTCCTTTTTTAAATATACGCTGTTCAGTTGAAACCTAAAGTGCCATCGAAAAACAACTTTTCCTTAAAAATTAGGCTAGAACTAAAAATTGCAAATTTTCTCATTACAATTTTGCGAATTTTCTGTGATTTTGTGATTTAATCTTTAAAAAATTTTAGATTTTGATTGAAATAATTCATATACAAATTTTTGCTTTTCTGAACTTTTGATTTTGAGAGAATAAATGTTCGCAGATTTTTTTTTTTTTTGAGACATTGGAATACCAAAAAACAAAAATTCAAAAAATATTGAAAAAAACACCATACAGGAGAGTTGCACAAAAAAGGGTACAATTTTGCACCAGACGCTGCAAATCACACTATTTTTTGACTCACCCTGTATATAATACAGTATTTGCCTTATATTTAGAACGACATGTATGGTTGGCCCTAAGGCCCTCAACTATAACAAAAGATAAAATGGTTAAGGGTGGGAGTCAATTTAATCAGGTAATGTACTTTTAATTCTGAGAGCATTTCACAAAGTCATCTCAAGTAACTGATTCTCATTTGGAACATATCAAATAGATTCATGCAAAAAAAACTCATTAAGCATTATGTTATTAGAGTTTCCTGTTTTTCTCTTAAAATTAACATCTTATTTTTATTTGATTTTTGATTTTTGTGTTCAGTATTTAGTTTTTTTGTTATTTGTTATTTGTTACTATAATTTTTCTTTTGGCTTTTATTTTACAGGGGAATGTCCACATTTCCATACAAACCCCCCCCCCCATGACTTTGTTTTTAGAGATTGCTCTCTGATATTTTGCATGCAGGCCTGAATTATGATCTAGTTTTTTAATCAAAAAGCAAAATGGAGGAAAAAATAAGTTTTACTTAGTTTTTTCTGCATTTTTCAGACATTTTTTCAAAAACTTTGTGTTAGGTCCATGTGGGGTGTCTAATGTCATCAACATTGGGTCGAGAAACTCAATTCTGGATTCTATAATGCATTTCCCCCTCTCCTTATACCATTTCCCGCATTTATACCCCTCCTAAAGGCCAAAGAAGCCTTCTGACTTTATTACTAGAGTTTTCTCTCTGATTTTTTGCATGCAGACCTGAATTGTGATCTAGTTTTAAGTCAAAAAAGTGGGGGAAAATAATTGTTCTCTTATTTTTTAGGCAGTTTTAAAAAAAAACTTTGTAATGTGTTTATGATTTATATAGTTTATTAATCTATTTTTTTTCAAAGTTTACAAATGTTTTTAAAATAATTCTTTATTCTAAGCTCAGTGATCCATCATCTAACTTAAATGTAAGATAATATTGTAGATAAATTATTATTATATTTATTAAGAATGATTTTCTTAGCTATCTATATAAGTTTAATCTTTTGAATAGTATTATATGTATATCATGATTTATCAAATGGAAATAAATCCAATATTTTTTGTAAAAATGCAGGAAAGGGGGGTGGGAATGGTATAAGAAGAGTGGGAAATGGATTATAGAGTCCAGAATTAGTGTCCCGACCCAATGACTTCAAACACCCCATATGACCTAATACAAAGTTTTTGAAAAAATGTTTGTAAAATGCTGGAAAAAATATTTTAATTATTTTTCCCCCCACTTTAGTTTTTAATTATAAGACAAAGTCAGAAGGCCCCCCCCCCCCCACCCTCTGTGTGGAAATGTGGACATTCCCCTTTATAATTTTTAATTCTGGATTCTTTGTAAAAGTAACTTCCAGATTTATGCAGAGAAACAAAGAATAAAATTGACAGACACTATCTCATTGAAGACAGAACAGACCTCCTCATATATGCATATAAAGGTCAATAGGGAACTGGGCCTTGTGAATTGGGTCTGTGTAATCAGAGTCCCAATTTATTGAATTTGAGCTGCGTTGCAAATCCGCCAAAACTGGTTTCAATTGAATGCCTGCTTAAATCTTGAAACATTGAATACAATTTTAAGCGGAACCAACCATATTTGAGTAGTGGCTCTAATTAAATCTGCAGCTAAAATTCTTTAAATTCGGCCTCCATGGGTTGCTCGAAATTATGTCTACAGTTAGTGATTGCTGGTTTCTTTAGAGTTATTCTTGTCTTGAACTGTGTATTACTTGTTTAGTGGAAAGAAGAAATGCAGTCTCACCCATACTTCTTCCATTTTCCTATACTCAGGCAACCATTGATTACTCATTACAAGCACTTAGTTGAGTCGTCTTGTTCCTTTGTATTTTGAGTTGGAATGATGTAATTTCCACCTTTTTTTGTTCAGGAAAATAAAGGTTTAAAGGAGATTTTATTTTTAACCATGTATAAACAGACTTGTTGACATATGTCCTGGACTTTGTTCGCTTATTTGTAAATTTGGTTGTAAATGTTGGCTGTAAAGGTTGAATCTCTCTCTCTTGCAATTGAAGGCGTTAGTGCAAACCTGGAAAACCTAAATAATGTTTTGACAATGTTTAACATGTTATAAAAAATGCAGGGTATATATTTATAAAATGACAGAGGAATGAACTTAAGAAAATACAAATAATGAAATGACAAAGCTTTAATGTTGTTAAATGTGCAGGGTATATATTTATAAAAAATGATAAATCAATAAACGATTGTAATGATGTTATTTTGAATATTGTTTGGTTGCAAGTTTACATTGTACATATTTAGGGTATAAGTGAAACTTACTATTTGGTCTTAAAACACACAAAAGAGGAGTGATAGGCTGAAGGATAAAACATGGTTAACTTCTGAAAATAATTGCTGGGTTAAAAGATGTTTTATGATTTTGATTTATATCACTTCAACGTGGATTCTGAATTTTTTTGTTTATGAATTGACAGAGGTATGGAAAGGTTTGGTTTGGTGTGTATGTTCAGTCTCCGGAGAGAAAATCTTAATAAAGACGACTTTCAAGAGGATTTAAGAGGGTTTGTCATGATTTTGTTCAACAAGACTGTTTTGCCCTGGCACGATTATTTTTGATATTATCACCTTGAGATGTCATGGCATTTGCTAAAGTGCTAAGCTAGAGATCTAAAACTTACATTTTTGAAAACCCTTTGAAAATAGATTTAAAGACATTTTTGTCCTTGAATCAAGGTAATCGCTTGTTGTTGTATCTATAGCAAAAACCTGCGAAATGCTCAAAATATTGCTGATTTATCCACCATCTTTCTCAGGTAAAATAAAAAGACAAAATTAAACATATCAAACTAGGGTTCACTGTTTAACCTTATTTTAATTAAAGGCATACCAAGCAACTCAACATGGCGGACGAAGCAAACAGCATTCGAACCATTCATCCAGTCATAGGAAATTGGCATGCAAAATACTTAAATATTCAAAGCACATATAAAAAAAAAATTTCAACACCTTGGGCTAATATTCAAAGTAAAGTTTGGCATTTAGTAATTACAAAAAATGTGACTAATTATACATTTATGAAGAGCACTAGACCTAGCAAAATTTTTGAACAATCAAAAAAAACTACAACATTTTTGCTAGTGTTATTTTTGCTGTTTGTCAATTTCAGGGGTATATATGAAATAATTTTCCCCTAAATTTTTTTTCTGATTTTCTCACACATACTTGATCGACAAATCAATTGAATAGGAGCTTTTTCTCTGTAAACAAAAAACAGCGCTTTCCCTTCTTTTGTTGCCTGCAGTATGGCGTCTGAAAAAGTTGTGTGATGAGGAAGTTTTGGTTTTAGATTGTTTTAGAAAAATGTTGCGTCGATTTCAGCATTATACCCAATAATGTGGGGGGGGGGGGGAATGGGAGAGAAAAGAGGGTTTTTGGTTTTTTACCACACTGAGCTTTATGCCGATGACACATAGGAAATGAGCCAAAGTTCATACACGTTCCACGTGGCAAGACAGAGATTGTTTGGTAAGCTTGTGAGTAATACAGGGTGTCCAACCAACCATGACAGTTGGTAAATAGTTTTGAATGTCGTCTTTCATGTACTGTATTAGAAATTAAAGGTAGTTTGCAGTTTATTTCGTTTAAAAACTCATTTGGTTAAGTATATTTTACTTTTAAATCTAGTTTTACTATAATATGACTCCTTATTTTTTTTGATATTGTCTTTGGTATTAAACAACTTAACACATAATGGAAGAAGACATTCTAGACAACATACCAACTGCCATGTTTCGTGGGACACCCTGTATCTCATTTCTAATGATATTGTCTTAAAATGTTTTAATTTTCTTATTGTTCAAGGGATGCTTTAGAAAAGTATCACCCAGATTGTAAAGAACCTGTAGTGGTTCTTGTTACTGTTCGAAAGGACACCAATTCAGTTTATCAACAGATAATGCAGAAAATGGAGAATGGTGGAAATCAAAGGTACATATTTCTGATGAAGTACTTCACATATAAGAATATAATTTAGCCAATCACACTGAACATAACACAACAATTGAAAATGACATTTTTCATTTAGAAAATATATGAACTGATTCAAGTGTGCGACATAGGTTGCCCCCTGAAATCAAAAATAAACCATTTACAATACTATCATTTTGGTTTGCAGTGTTAATAAGATAGATATGCAGAGTTACCCACAAGGGATACTACTTCAGAGACATATTTTATGCTATCTAAATTGTTTCTATTTTTGCCAAATCATCAAATTTTCTATTCAAAGACTTAGTTCAAGACAGAAGTCTTAATTTAACTTTGAGATCAGCATTTATTAATAGTTTCAGATCATCTTTACAATTTCATCCTTTGTGGGTAACCCTTTAATTGTATATGATCAATGGGTATATACAGTATACCCACTTTTGACTGCTTGCTCTCACATGTTGTACACACAAAAAAAACACTTTTGATATGTTCAATTTACATTATTTAGGACAGTGATAAAATATTCAATGTACAATTATGAGAAAATGCCTCAAAAAGAAAAAGATGAACAGAGAAATAATCTTATACAATACATAAAGAACCCAAAACCAGAGGTAAATTAATGATAATGAGAAACTATTTATTTAATTTCAAACCAGTTTATGGAGAAACCTAAACGAGAGTTAAATTAATAACCGTAAAACCAAAGCCAGAGGTAAATTAACTATCATCTTAAACTAGTTATTTTAATTGCAAACCATTTTTATGGTACTTATAACCAGGATTGTTAATGGTTTTTAAAAACGAGAGTTTTTCGTTTCGTTATATTTTTTTTCTAAAAAAAAAGATTTTTTTAAAAATCAACCACTCGTTTTGAACTTTTAAAAAAACGAAAAGCAATAGTTTCTGAAAACGATTGATTTTGTAACTATCGTTTTTTAACAGAAAACGATAGTTTTTGAAAAAGATTTTGAAAATAAGTCTGAGTTTTATGACAATTAATTAAATTTTTTTCAGACAGGTAAGGTTATAATGTTGTCTTAAATGTTGTTTGATTTCCGATTGTTTTTGTTAACCAAAAAATGTATTATATCTTTAAAAGGTTGTAAACGATTGTTAATGAAGGGTCATCGTAAACGGTCGTTAACGAAGGGTCGTTTTCAAAAACGATCGTTGTTGAAAACAACTGTTTTTTTAAAAACGAAAAACTATCGTTTTTGAAAACGACGGTTTTTCGAAAGCTATATTTTTAAAAAACTATCGTTTCGTTTTTGCTTTTTTCTTCGTCTTTTTTAAAACGACACAATTGTTTTTCGAAAAAGGGAAAACAATCCATCCCTACTTAAAAGTATAATTAAAATGAAGCTTGAGAAACAGTATCAGACAAATAAATATTTGAAACAAATTAAATTAAGCAAACAAATGGTTTAGGGTGTTTTGATCACTGATGATGCTACATATGGAGGAATGCAGGTAATGCAAACACTTTCTGGCAATATTTTCGGGCTGAATCATGAATCATAAATTTTTATCATATTTTCAAAGTAAAACAGTAGAGCCTAAAAATCATAATTTTAAAATGTAAAATATAAAATGTAGAATTTATGGGAAATTGAGAATTCTTAATTTTTGCTTTATGAGTTGACTAAAAAGTTTGATTATTTAAATCTCTTTTTTGCTTCAAAATACAAGCGCACATGTTTGGAAAATACAAGCGCACATGTTTGGAAAATACAAGCGCACATGTTTGGAAAATACAAGCGCAAATGTTTAGAAAATACAAGCGCACATGTTTGGAAAATACAAGCGCACATGTTTGGAAAATACAAGCGCACATGTTTGGAAAATCAGGAAAGTAAAAAAAAATTTAACAGCCTCAGACCAATACTTTTTGAGTTATCGCAAAAAAAACGACAATTACTGTTTAAATGTAATGTAGCAAAAAGATAGTTTCTTTCGTTTTAATGCCTTTCTTTCTTAGATAATAAGGAATACAACGTTTTTGTTTACGCTTTATGACATTTGAGCAATCTAATTTGTATTTGATCTTTAAGTGCAAATCAATTTGCAAAGCAAAATGTTTCTTGGTAAACATGGTACTGCAAAATTGTACGGTTTCATGCTTAATGGACTATTTAAAATCATAACTTGAGGTTAGAATATAGTCATTCCACAGATTTATAGGAATATTTTATGCAGATTTTGATCGACTTAAATTATCATGGGTTTTTATTTCTTTGTATCGTTTCTTTTCAACATTTTCGCGAATATATCTAGGGAAATATGCGGGGAAAATTTTCGCTTAAAGTTTAGATCATTCTTCTTCTCAATCCCTTTAGGATGCAGTAAATAAACTTATTTCTTTAATGATTTCAGCTTTTTCAGGCCCGAAATGTGATCGTGTTTCACAGACGGGTAAGCGGGGCTATCAGAAACAGCTTGCTAAGGAACAATAAGTCAACATTAAAACTTTAATCCAAATCTAGAAATCTTTAAGTTGTTAAGGTTTATGTATGTTTAGACTTCAAATCGTTTTCTTCATGTAAAGGAATTGAGTCTTTGCCACAAACTCAAATTTTCTAATGCAAATATCTTTGCAACCTGCAGATGTAAACCTTTAATATTTCAAACTTAGATCATTTGATCTAACCAAATCAATAGTTTGAAATATCTAAGGTCTACAACATTGGGTTGTTAAGATATAGCGATTAGAAATTCAGAGTTTGTGGCAAAGACTCAATTCCTTTGGCTTGTTTGTCTGTATCTAATAAACGTCAAAACGGCGGTACTGATCGAGCCCAGTTTTCTGTGGCAACTCAAACGATCACAGGGAAGATTTTTCTGAAAAATGTTTCTTAGAAAAATATCAATTATATATCTAAAAATTCCCTTTAAAAGGGGCTGTTTGCGTAATTTAAAGGGACCCTCCAAATAAAGATGGAAAATATTTGGCGTTTTTCTAGGTTTAAAAGTGTTTAAAACTAGAATTAAAAACAATCTGTTGCTAAAGTTAAAAACATTCTTTTCATAATGTATTTATTGATCAGACAACTCATTCAATTCAAGGATAGTCCTTTTAAATCTATAGCTTATATTTAAAATGACTTTGTCTTTTAGAGCTACAACATCTCTTATATTCATCACATCAAGGTTACTACTTTAGAATTTTGAAAATTAAAACAATTTTTTTTGAATAATTTCTTGTTCAGTGAAAGGGAAATTCCTCCGGAAATACGGAACAATTATGCTTATGAAAACCTGTGTAAAAAAGATCTACGGCCAAATCTGAAGGATCAACAAACACATCTGGAAGATCAAAAACCAAATCTGGATGATCAACAACAAAATCTGGAGGATCAACAACCAAATCTGGAAGATCAACAACCAAATCTGCAGGATCAACAAACACATCTGGAAGATATTCAAACAAATCTGGAAGATCAACAACCAAATCTGCAGGATCAACAAACACATCTGGAAGATATTCAAACAAATCTGGAAGATCAACAACAAAATCTGCAGGATCAACAAAAACATCTGGAGGATCAACAACTACACCTGGATGATCAACAAACAACTCTGGAGGATCCCCAACAACATCAAGAAGATCTACAAACAAATCTGGAGGATCAACAAACAACAAATCTGGAAGATAAACAAACAAATATGGAGGATCAACAAACAACAAATCTAGAAGTTCAACAAACAAATATGGAGGATCAACAAACAACAAATCTGGAAGATTAACAAAGAACAAATCTGAAGGATCAACCAACAACAAATCTTGATGATCAGCAAACAACACATCTCTAAGATAAACAAACAACAAATCTGGAGGATCAAAAAACAGAAAATCTGGAAGATCAACAACAAAATCTCGAAGATCAACAACCAACAAATCTGGAAGATCAACAACCAAATCTGGAGTATTAAAGCTTTTTTTCATGTTATCCTGCGTAATTTGGATTTTACTCCAGAAATTACTCCAGTTTCTGAATAATTTTAATAATAATGATTTTTTGATGAATATAAAAAAAAATTTTAAACTTTTCCTGCTTTTCAGTTTTTAAGTGAAAAGTTTTCACAAGCAACGATGACTTAAAACCCATCCAATTACTTTTTAAATTTGTTTTGCATTAGCGCAATTGTATGTATATTGTAACATTGTGTTTTAAGAGAGTTATTTTGAGCAATACGGTTAATGAATTATCATCGATGTATGGAAATAAATAGAGAAAAATATTTAAACTGCATAGACTTATAGTTTCCACCACTTATCTTCAGGGGTCCATATAATTCCCAAGATTGCTGATTTTCTCGATCCCAATATAATTTTTTGCCCCCAACTTAAAAAAATGCCCCCAATTAAAAACACATCTTCAAATTCCACTAACACATTTGCCCCCATTGCCCCCAATTTGAAAAAATGCCCCAATTAAAAAAACATTTTAAATTCCACTAACGCATTTGCCCCATTTGCCCCCAATTAAAAAAAAATGCCCCAATTAAAAAAACATTTTTAAATTCCACTAATACATTTGCTCCTCATTTAAAAAAAATTCCCCGAATTAAAAAAAAACATTTAAAAACTCCATTAACACAATTGCTT